TTGAACTGCGAACAAAGTTCATCCATCATCTTGTTTTTTAAATTAGTAGCATCGTCTGTGATGATTCTTTCTAGAAATCCATATCGACATATTATTTCCCTCTTTATGAATCTACAAACTGTAGATCTCATGACACTGGAATAGAAAGCAGCCTCTACCCATTTTGTGAAGTAATCAATTGCTACTAAAATGAATCGATGCCCATTTGAAGCTTTTGGTGTGATTGCCCCAATGACGTCCATACCCCACATAGAGAACGGCCAGGGTGAGCTCATAACGTGCAAAGGTGAAGGCGGTGCTTGGATTTTATCCACATATATCTGGCATTTATGGCATCTTCTCACGTAATTGACACAATCCGTATGCATTGCGGCCCAATAGTATCCATATCTCATAATTTTTCTGGCCATGGACAATCCATTCGTATGCGTTCCACACGTTCCTCCATGTACTTCTTCCATCACATTCTTTGCTTCTTTGGCATTTACACATCTCAGTAAAACTTGGTCACTGCCCCTTCTATACAAGATTTCCCCATCAAGGAAGTACCTAGTTGCCATTCTTCTGATGGTTTTCTTGTCAATTTCAGATGCACCGGGGGGATAAGTCTGGTATCTCATATATTGTAGGATATCATGGTACCATGGATGACCATTTATTTCTTCTTCTAAGTGATAACAGTAGGATGGGGTCTCGTATACTTGCATTGTTATGTGCATCATGTCTGTTCTTTTATTAGCTTTAAACATTACTGCTAAGGTAGCTAAAGCATCTGCCATTTGATTGTCCTCTCGGGGGAGATATCTGAACGTGACATCCTCAAATTCTTTTAGTAATTCGAGGATTAAATTTCTGTATTCGACTAGCTTTGAGTCTTTCGTCTCCCATTCTCCCCTTAGGTGGTACACCACTAGCGAGGAATCTCCGTATACTTTGAGTGTTTTGATCTTTCTTTCAATGGCTGCTTTTAACCCCATAATGCAAGCTTCGTATTCGGCCATGTTATTGGTGCAAACAAAATCTAATCTTCTTATGAGAGGATAATAAATCTCCTCTGGGGAAATCAACACTGCCCCAATTCCATTTCCTAAAGTGTTAGAAGCACAATCAAAGTACAAAGTCCAAGATTTGTTGCCTTCGGAGCTCTCCTCCTCGGCATAAACGCACATTAAATCTTCATCTGGGAAATTGAAGTTCAAAGACTCATAATCCTCCGAGGCACGACTTGCAAGAAAGTCGGCTATAACGCTCCCTTTTATTGCCTTTTGACTCACATAGACAATATCAAACTCAGATAACAATATCTGTCATCTAGCCAATCTGCCAGTCAAAGCAGGGGACTCCATAAAAAATTTCAACGGATCTATTTTCGATATTAACCATGTAGTATGGTATAACATGTACTGTCTGAGTCTTCGAGTAGCCCAAACTAAGGCACCACACAACTTTTGAATCGGTGAGTATCGAGTCTCACAATCAGTAAACTTCTTACTCAAGTAATAAATGGCTTTTTCTTTTCTTCCTGATTCATCATGTTACCCTAGTACACAACCCATTGAATTCTCGAAAACTGCTAAGTAGAGAATTAATGGTCTACCGGGTACTGGCGATACCAATATGGGGGCATTGGACAGGTACCTTTTGATGACTTCCAAAGCCTCCTGGCATTCATCATTCCATACCTCAGGATTATTCTTTTTGAGCAATTTAAATACCAGATCACATTTATCAGTAAGATGAGAAATGAATCGCGATATATAATTTAACCTTCCTAGAAACCCTCGAACTTCTTTCTGTGTGCGTGGTGCGGGAAGGTCATGCATTGCCTTAACCTTATCCAGATCAATCTCGATTCCTTTCTGGCTTACCACAAAACCCAATAATTTTCCAGATTTTACTCCGAATGTGCATTTTGTTGGATTGAGCTTTAATTGGTACTTCTTTAATCGTTGGAATAACTTTCTCAAATTTTGTACATGCTCTTCTTCTGTTATGGACTTGGCAATCATGTCATCCACGTATACTTCTATCTCCTTGTGCATCATGTCATGGAAGAGAGTCACCATGGTTTTTTGATAGGTTGCCCCAGCATTCTTCAACCCGAATGGCATTACTTTATAGCACAAAGTTCCCCACATGGTTATAAACGTCGTCTTCTCCATGTCTTCAAGGTTCATTTTAATCTGATTGTACCCTGAGAAGCCATCCATGAAGGAAAACCATGAATGCCCCGCAGTGTTATCCACCAGGGTGTCTATATGAGGTAAGGGAAAATTGTCCTTTGGGCTAGCCTTGTTAAGGTCTCGATAATCTATACACATGCGGACCTTCCCATCCTTCTTAGGTACCGGTACTATATTGGCTACCCACTCAGGATATTTTGCCTCTTGAAGAAAACCTGCATATCTTTAATAGCATCTCTGGTTTCATCCTTCTGAGTTTTTGTTGGACGGGTTTGCATTCTGGCTTGATGGGCAACGTGTGGACTACTATATCAGTACTTAGCCCTGGCATATCTTGATATGACCAAGCAAAGACGTCTTTGTACTCCTGGAGCAAACTTATCAACTCTAGCTTTATTTCTGCGGATAGAGTAGCGCCAATCTTTATTTCTCTCTGTACCTCCACGGTCCCCAAGTTTACAAGTTCTACTTCTTCCTTGTGGGGTAGGATCTGTTTCTCATCTCTTTCCACCAATCTTAATAGCTCACTAGGGACTTCACAGTCTTCTTCATCTTCACATTCATTGACTTCTTCCAAACATGGTGGTCGCTCGAAATTTGTCTTGCAACTTGCCTCAGGAACAATTATGCTAGTATTATTGTGACATCTGCATGAAATTTGACTCGGATATATTGGAGAGTAAAGAAATAAAGAATATGATGTAATGAAAAATGAAGAATTTGGAGATTTGAAGAATAAATAATATGATATGAAGAACATTATGAAATAATGTGAAGAATGAAAATGATTGTTATTTGAGGAAAATATCTTTTTATTGATTGATGGGATAAGCGTGAAGTTTTACAAAAAGTCCAACAGATATTTTTTAGATGCTAATACAAATTATTCTGGGGCATTACTTTGGATTGACCCTAAAAACTTTGGGGAGGTCCTCGGCTGTCCAATTGTCGAGCTTTTCACCAAGTAAGCACGGACGAATTCCAGCTAGAAACTTCCCGGGTTGGTTGCCCCCAGAAATCATATTGATTGACAGTCCTTTCAGAGCTTCGCCCATCATCTCAGTTTCGATGGCGCTAGTCAGCTGTTGTTCTACGTTATACACTCCTCCAAATTTGAAAGAGCTCTTCAGGGGAGGAAATGACATGCATTCTCCCGAGACATCCTCTCCTCTCAGTCTGGCCTTTCTCGCCTCATTCTTTTTCTTTATTTCTTGACCCCGCTACTGGAAGGTGGGCTTAAATCCGAGCCCGAAACGGTCCTTCTTCAACTCAACAGTTATGGGTCGTACCTGCCCCTGCAGCTCTTTCCCAGTCCTTTACCGATCATTGCTCCTCTTCCTAGGGTTTGTCTCACTGTCATCTTAGTACAATTCGACAGTGCGGGTCGTGGAATTCTACTACCTTCAGCCACATAGGCTGCATTGATGAATTCCAAAGCCCTGAATGAGCACTCCAAGGCGTCCTCATTTATGTCGATATACGGGGTCTCAGACGTTACAGAAGCTATGATTTCTTGTTCAGCCCCAATGCTGACCAATCTTCCATCAATTACGAACTTCAACTTTTGATGCATGGATGAAGGAACTGCCCCTGCCGCATGGATCCAAGGTCTCCCTAACAAACAATTGTATGTCGGGTGGATATCCATTATCACAAAATCAACATTGTAAATAGCAGGCCCAATCATTAAGGGTATTTCCAGCTTTCCCATCATGTCCTTCTGGGTTCCATCGAATGCCCTGACGATGTTATGATACGCTCTCATATGTGAGCTATCAATGGGCATCCTTTGTAGTGTAGCTAAGGGCATTACATTCAGTGCCGACCCATTATCTATAAGAACCCCTGGCAGGACATGACTGTGGCAGTGCACAGTGATGTTTAAAGCCTTAATGGATCCCATCCCTCATTCCGAGATCTCATCATCAGTGAAAGTAATATATTGTCAGCAGCTATGTGACCCACAATTCGATCCAATTTATTCGTCGAGATATCCTCAAGAACAAACGTTTGGTTGAGCACTTTTAGCAAGGCGTTCCGATGTACTTCAGAATTGATCAAAAGATCCAAGATTGAGAGTTTTGCCTGCTGTTTGTGAAGCTGCTCCACTATATTGTATTCACTGTGCTTAAGAAACCTCAAAAACTCATGACCTTGAGCTTCAGTCATAGGCTCGTTAATGATCGGTGGAGGTTCTTCATTGAAAATTTTTGGCATTACGACGGCTTTGGCTTTAGCTTTTCCTTTGTCTATCTCGAGGGACATTTCTGGTGAGTAGCATCTTCCGCTTCGTGTGAAATGTCTCACCTCACCTACTTCTTCTGAGCTTGATTTATTTTCCTCATTTGTTCTTTCAGATATCTTGGACCCCTCTGGTATTGATACATTGGATGTATAACTCCAAGGAACCTGTCGGGTATCCTTGAATGGGAAGGGGGACGGAGTTGTAATCACCACCCTTGGAGTTGTTGACGATGATCTCTCTTGTCCCGGATTAACTGTGATGACTATCGGTTTTCTCGTCCCCGTCATTCTGCCCGAGCCATCCATTATACAGATATCTATTTCTCGTGGTTTCTCTTCCTTACTGAAAAATTCCACTTCTCCACTATCCATAATTTTCTGAAGCAATTCTCGAAATTCAGGACAATTCTGGATATCATGGTCCTTAGTTTGGTGATGTTCACAGTATGTTTCTTGTTCCAATGACCTTGATTCGGGACTTCCCTTAATCATTCCCGATGTACACAGCTGCCTGAACACCCAACAGAGGGGAGATTTGACTTCTGACACCTTTCTCTTGGTCGTCCTGATCTCTCATTCTTCGACCATGTTGATTCCTTGCCCCCCATGATTGGGCATAGGGTGAGTATTTACAGCTGGTGTTTTGAATTCCAAATCTCCAGCGTTGATAAGGTTTTGTATAACCTTCTTAAATTTTGGGAAGTTCTCGATATCATGCCCAACAATCCCTGCGTGGTATTCACAGTGAGCATTGGCATTATACCAGTGAGGGTAAGGTGGCTGCATCGGAGTCAATTTGTAAGGGCGTATTAAATCTGCCTTCAAGAGCGAGGCGTAGATTTCTGAATATGGTACTGGCACTGGTGAGAAAGTTGGTCTTGTATTCTCCCTTCTCTGCCCTCTATTTTCATGGGTGTTGGTATTCTCCGTCTTAGGCTGTGAAATCGTGACGCTGGTTGCGTAGTTCTTTTTATAAGTATTCGTCTGGCTCACTTCATTGTCTTTTTTCTTGAAATAGGGCTTCTTCGACCCATCACCTCCTTCAATCTTGCCACTTTTAATGGCATTTTCGATTAATTCTCCAGAAAGAACCAAGTCAGCAAAATTCTTTGTAGCATTTCCCAACATATGCCCCAAATATGGAGCCTTTAGAGTATGTACAAAGATAACCGTAGCCTCCTTTTCCAGCAACGGTGGTTGTACTTGTGAGGCAACATCACGCCACCTTTGGGCGTACTGCCTGAAAGTTTCATTATGTCGCTTTTCCATGTTCTGCAATGTCCATCTGTCAGGCACTAGTTCGGTGACGTGACGATACTGTTCATAAAATGCTCGAGCCAAGTCTCTCCATGACTTGATCTGAGATCTAGTCAATTGATTGTACCATTTAATTTTTGATCCTGTTAGGCTGTCCTGGAAACAATGTATCAGTAGTTTCTCATTTTCAGTATACCCTGCCATTCTTCTGCAGAACATGACGAGGTGAGCTGATGGGCAAGTAGTTCCATCATACTTTTCAAAGTCTGGTGCTTTGAACTTCGGGGGTAGAATCAGGTCAGGCACCAAACTTAGCTCTCTAGCATCCATTCCATAGAATGGCTCAACTTCTACTGATCTCATTCTTTCCTCTAGGCTTTTCAACTGCTGGGTTATATCACTGTTAACCCTTCCTTTTTCCGAGACTTCCTGAAAATCAGGTGGTAACTCTTCTACACCTGATTCAATGGGTCTTGCCCTAGTAGCCGATGGGTAATCGGTTTGAAATGCGAGCTCATTATGATTTTGCTGATTCGCTATATAGACTCCTGGGTGAGCCTCTTGCACAGCTGGCGATCTAAATGAAATGTGCACTGGGGTGAAACCGGGAGGATGCGAAGGGTCGGGTGTAAACCCTGGTGGGTGCTGGGGGCCAGATGTAAACCCGACAGGATGCCATGCCATAGGTTCAAACCCTGGAGGATGCAAGAGATCCTGATCAGATGATTTTGGTTGGTAAACAATAGCTTTTCCACTTGTAGCGTGCTTCTTAAACATTTCTTCGATCTTTTGTAGCAAACCGTCTTGTGAGCTTTCCATCTCTGCTTCCATTTTGCTTAATCTTTCTCTCATCTCTGCTTGAGCTTGTTTGTGTTCTTGTTCAATTTGAGCTAATTTCACCTCCATTTTCTTAGTTTTACGGGTACCGTATGGGTGTGAGGTGAATGCCAGGATAACTACAAATAATTGGAAATTATATTTTATTATTCGATGAATTTAATGAATGAATTGTTATAATGCGATTATCAAGATTTCAAACATTTAGAAAAACGTAAGAAAATGCAAATGCAAATGCAACCCGATATTGATTCCGAAATAACTTAGTTCATACAAAAAGTACTCAACAACACACAAAGTCTAAGCACTTTAGGCAAAGAGAATACATCCTCATTGAAATTAAACGTAGAATCTTGCCCTATCGCCTAATCTCTCGAGCTCTATTATCAATCCCAGGATGCGTCGCTCTTCCTCTAAATTTGGGATAACAAAAACTCTGAGGGCTGCCGCTTCTTCAGATATCTCGTAGACTTGACGAGCAACACTGCGGGCCTGATTCACTGCTCTCCCCATTGTTTCATGTTGATTCTGAATGGTGTCGTGAGCCTGCCATAGCGCGATTCCAAGCTCTGAATTAGTCAATGGTCGGCTTTCTTCTAATTGTTGGATTCGTTGATGGCCTTTTTGTACTGCAACTTCTAGCTCAACGATCTTAGCTTTTAAGGCCTCATTCTCCTGTCTGGCTATATCATGTGTGGATGAGTGGATCAACCTTGCTTCTTCTAACTCTGTCATCCTTTTCTTTAACATCACATTTTCTTTTTGAAGACGGAATACATCGCTGTTGTATGGGTTCTAAAAAGTCTTATCCATACTAAGTAATTGTGCTTCGAGCCGTTCAATCTGTGCCCGCCTCTGTGTCAATTCTTGGTTAGCCTCATCTCTTTGCTCTCTTAGTCTTTGAGCGTGCTACAGGGCTCGCTTCTTTTCTTCTTGACCTCTTCTTGCTCTTCTTTCTACCCTATCAAGTTTTATTTTTAGGGTCTTAACAGTATGATGTAGACCCTGGGCTCTCATATTCTTCTCTAAGGCCCGAAAATCTTGATTTAGCGCATCAAGACTCTCCTGAACCTTCTTTTTATCTTTGGAAAATTGTTTTATCACTCCATCCTTCTTAATCAGCTCGAGCTCCCACATTGTCTTCTCATCTGAGAAGTTTCTCTGTTCTTTTTCTCTCCCCAGATTCATTAGTCGCATATCCTCTTTTAACAATTCAGCCTCTGTCGGGAGCCTCCTCAATCGCTCCTCCATAGTCATCTCATCTTCTAAATTTGGCTTCGGTGTATTGTTATTAATTCTCTGCAACCTCTAAACCTCATAGGCTGGTGTGAATCCAGGCTCTATCATTTTGAAGTTCATGTAGTGGGGTTTCTGCCACGCTGTATAGATTTTTGAAATCCGCTCTCGATAACCTGGAGTAGAGAAAGAAAATTCTGCCTCCTTCAAGCCGTGGGTAGCTGGTACGAACTGTCGGGTACTGAACTGTCTGAGTACAATCAGCGGAGTATACCCGATTGCTCCCCATAATCCGTGCAGCATCACAAAGCTATCGTTACCACATCTGAAAAGTACATCCTCTTTGGGTAACCAGTAAGCCTTCCACACAATCTCAGTATCCTTCACGTTACGGAGAGCTTCAACCCAATCTTTTCTCTTGCGATGCTCCGGGATTTGACATTTGTCAAGGAAATCCACCAGAGGCAAAAAATTTGATTGATGTCTCCGAGCCCAGCCCTTCTCAACTATCCAGGAGTGGCTCCACCACCAAACTAGTAATAGTGAAGTACATCCAATGAACTGACCTTCTCCCAATCGTCTACATTGATTCAGTGACAAGAATGTTTCCACAATGATGGCTGGTGGGGATTCTTTCTGGAAATAGCTTCGACGAAATCGATTAAGGCAATGTCAAAGTGATCCTCAATCTTGGGGAAAATTACCAGGCCATATACTGCAAGCGCGAAGTGATCTCTTCTTCTTTTTGATGGAGTCTACTCATAAATCAAACTCTTCAGCTGAGCCCAGGAGATCCTTTCATCACGAATGTACTCTTCGACCCATTCCTTGGTCTTTCCCATCAGCGAGACCATCTTGGTAATGAACCCCTTAGGTCGGATTGCCTTGGTGTAAATGGAATACTTTCTAACATTCGGGATGTTCAGCAAAGCCGTATATTCCTCCAAGGTAGGGGTCATGTCCACTTTATCGAAAGTGAAACACCTATAAGCTGGATTCCAACATTTGACCAGGGCCTGAACCAACACTGAATCTATTGGTACTCTCAGCAGCTCTGCGATGTCTCCGTATATTTCCCTGAACATTGTCTTCTCATTATCATCCCAGGTGGCCCAAATTCTTGATAATTCATCCCAATGTGCTTGCCTGACTCTGATAATTGCCTTCTCTGGCAAAACTGACTCTTCAGTAGTGACAAGGCTATCCTCGAACCGTGATTGCCCAGACTCAGACCATGTATGAACACTGATTGCATTCTCAGTCCCATCGGAAGACATTGCTGCCTTAAGCTCTTTTATAATAACTAGGTGATCTGGGAATCAATACCATTTATGAGATGATGTGATATGATAATGATACATGCAAAAATGCAATAAGAGTATACAAAAGAAAATCAATGTTAGTAGAAACAAGACAACAAGAATCAAGTTAGTTGAAATGATTAGTAAAAAAATAATAATATTAAATATGACTTAAAGTTGAGAATAAAATAAAGCATACAAAGAAAATTAATAATCCTAACCGCATGCGTTCTAGTTCTCCTAGGCTATCCACATGGCTCTAGCGGGGTAGACTTACTAAATTCTCTATATAAGGCTGGGTTCTAGCGAAGGTTCCCAAGCTATTTTTACAACGTACTAAGGTTGACCCCGATTCTAGCCCATTACAGACTTGTAAATCGGGTTCAGCTCAGGGGATTACACCACTAAAAGCGTACCTCAGAACTGATATCCGGATAGGCAACTTAGGGTGCTTTCCAGAGATACTTTGTCAGACCCACACAAGGAAGCCCAATGCTCCTCATGAGGTGTGTCGTTTCTCTCTACTTATGTAAATTTGGTTTGAGCTCGGGTTTAGAGCTATGATATGCAACAATCCTAAATATTTCATAGAAGTGTAAGCATTAACCGAAGAGAAATCTGTTTTTTCTTTTTGAAATAATATAATGAACCATAAATTAAATAAGATCGAACTAGTAATTTCCAAAATCATAAATACATGGTAACCAACTCGTGGCTCGACTCTCAACTTGTTTAAAAAACAAAATTCCACAGCGGAGTCGCCAAGCTGTCGACACCGTTTTTCGCCCGGGCGGGGAAAGACCGATACCGACTCGGGGGTTTTCTTTCTCTTTGAAAAGAATTTTTTGAAATGTGAGGAGTCGCCACCAATCATTTAAGGTGCGATTGAGACACCATAAATACCGGGTGATTTTAATAAAACATTTTATTTTAATAAATTATCGAGTTTTAGGGTCTGCGAAAATCCAAAAATCAGGTTCATGAGTCAGTTACGCGTGGGGAAGGATTAGCACCCCCACAAGCGCCCAAAAATTGGTACCTAGTTGATTACCCTATATTTAAAATTGGAAATTTTGAATTCGATCTTTATTTAATTTAAAAATCATTAAGAATGCAAAGTTTTAAAAGGGTATTCGTTTACTGAGACCGATAGCATTCGCCCCCGAGCGTAAATGCGGGAGATCAGCTATTGTGTCTAATAACCGAACATTGCCTCGTTTTAAAAGCATGATGTGGTTTTGAAAAGGATGTTAACTTAATTAGGGAATTACCAGTAGTCACCCCCTGAGCACGATCTCGGAGGATATACTATTAACTCCTTAATAAGTGAACAGTGCCTTAAAGTTTAAAATAAAATGCACTCGGACAAAATCTTATTCAATCCTAATCAATCTAAGATAAATTAAGGCCTTTTCTAACTTAAGGTATCAAATTATGATAATTAAGGAACCTAGGGCTTAAACCTAAAGATGCAGGTTCTAATATTAATCTTATTTGATTTTAAAAAATTATTAAATCAAATAACCGAGATGGTCCCTCGAGCGTTTACGTGAGGGCCAACTCGAATTATCCCCTAAATTAAAGACTAGTTTGAAATCTAACCTAAAATGGAGGCTCTCTTTAACATATTTAATTATGTCAATATTAAATGTATAAACATAGTTCGGGGAATAAACATATCAAATAATTAAAATAACGGACCTAAAAGATTTAAAAGTCTAAGGTTATTTTTAAACAGAATAAAATATGATACATTGATATATTTAAAAAATAAATACACACATTAAGGTTAATTTTAACTTTGTTTTACTTTATAAATAGATACATATTTTCTAAATATGATATTAAACGTATGACATAATATTTATTCTAAAATATAATGAAAATATAAAATATAATATTTATCGTGCTCTACATATATATTATGTATATAATAAAGTAATATATAATAATATAAGTAAATAAATACCTAAAACATAAAACATACTTTAATGGTACAAATAAACAATATACATATATATTCATTAATATCTTAGTGACAAAAATGAGTGAAAAATAATTTTAAAATTATAAACATTAATAAAAATAAATATCATGGCATGAAACAAGAAAATCACATAACATGAGCACTAGAATCGTAATAAAATAATAAATATAGGACTAAAATAGAATAGCATAAACATCAGTACCCCATTTCGAACACAAATAATACATACAATAGTGGACTAAATTAAAATAATACAAAACAAAGTAGCCAATTCGCAAATCATGTAAAGTAAAAGAAAATGGTGACCATAACACAAAAAACGCTAAACTTGAAGGGACCTAAGGCACGATTAACCCTAAAATGACTAAAGACACATATCACATTAAACTTAAAGGACCAATAAAGTGATTTAACCTAAAATTAGTGATCTAAATGCAAAACACACTAAAACTATGATGACCTAGTATGCTATTTACCCTAACACTTAAACTAAAACATGAAACATATTAAAAATGGATGACTTGACATGTGATTAACCCAAAACCCAAAATAACTTTACTTTTTTCTCCCCAGAATCATTTATGCGCAAGGTTTTTCATTTCCTCTCCTCTTCTCTCTATTATTTCTCTCAACTTTCTTCCTCTTTTCCTATTTCATTTTTACTTCGTGGAATAAACGATCGTTGGCCATGAACCACCATGGCCACCACTACAAACCGTCCCGATCTAAGGTAATAATCTACTCACTCTTTTTCCTTCTTATTTTACATACAAAGCTTCAAAAAAATATTAGATTCAAAACTAAAAAAATATTCAAAATACCTTGGAATAATCTGATTTTTATTTCTTTTCTCTCTGATTCTAAATTATTTTAGTATTTTCTCGTAATAGCATAGAGTAAAAAAATTAGTATTTGAATACGAAAATAAAAAATTACCCTTAAATGCTTGTATTTTTCTGGAAAAATCGGAGAGAAAATCCTCCCTTTTTTGATTACATGCATTTGGCTTTTATAGCCAATTTTACAATGATTTTTCAGTTGATTATGCCTTGATTTTCGCAGGGAACAAGGGGTGATGGGGTTGGTGTTGAAAAAAATGGGATGATGGGTGTTGGTGTTGAAAAAATGGGGTGGTAGGTGTTGGTGTTGAAAAATGGTGTTTACAAAAATAAAGGGGGTTAGATATGGTTACCTTGAGTATATGGAGGGCTTCATCGAGGGTCGCCGGAGTTGGGAAAATCGAAGGCTATAAGGGTTTTTTTAGGTCTTTTAGAGTTGTTTTCGATGGTTTTAGCCCCTAAAAAGGGCCTAGGCTAGCAAATCTACGATTTTGAAGTTTTTAGGTCATTTTGGGTTTTTTGGCAGCCGTGTGCGATAGCCGGAGCGGGTTCGGGTGATTGGCCTACTACCGACCGAGGAGAGAGGGGAGAGCTCTCTCTTCGTTTTTTTTATTTTTGTTTCATATGAAAAATAAAATAATTAAGTGGTATTTATAAAACAAGTTTCAGGGAAAGTTTATGTGTAGTCCTCTGAGTTTTACCTTATTTTTTGTAAAATAGCCACTATCAAAGACCGTTTTCATAATTTTCTTATTTCTGTTCGTGCTTTGTAATTTTTGGTATAATTATTGTTTCGTCCCCCTACTTTAAGCGTGTTTTTACTTTTTTGGTCACTTGTAGGGACCCAAACTATTATTTTCCCTTTTATTTGCATGCTTTGTAATTTTTGGGTTATTCATTGTTTAATCCCCTAATTTAAACGCATCTTTATATTTAGGTCACTGATTGATTTTATTTTATTAAATGCAACATAGTGTATTGATTTTGCTATTTCTCTTTCTTATTTTACTTTTTTGGTGTTTTCCTTGTTTCATACGATTTGACCATGCATTATCTAATCTTATTTTTTTTTTTCAATTTGTTTTCCTTTTAAGACATGTTTAATTCATGATTTGTCTCATCCATGTTTTCCTTATGTTTCCTTTAAATTACAACTCTAATTTAACCCAACTTTATGTCCATTGATTGTTAATTACATTTTATCATTTGTTTACTTTTATGTTCATTTGTTTATTTAAATGTATTTATTCCTTTTCTTTTCCTTTATTTCTTTTTTACCATAAAAAGTTCATTTCTCGTCATTGTAATTTTTTCTCACATTTTGATTTTAGTTTCCTTCTAATTACGTGATTTGAACTTTAGGTTTTATGTTTTGTTTCTTTTCTTTATTAACTTTATTTCCTTATTTATAATTCTTTTACCTTTTAACATTTATATTAATTCGTTTGTTCATTTATTTGTTTAGTTCATAGGGTCCACTCATTTTTAGGTTTAGCCCCTAAACTTTATAACTTTTAAAGTTAGTCCTTGAACTTTTTAATTAGATATTTATTTGTCATGATTAATTAAGATTAATATTATAGGCTCCATCTTAGGCCTAATTTCATATTTAATATTTAAATTAGGAGAATTATTAATTTGGTCCTCGTTTTTGCTCGAGGTTCCAATTTAATTATTCGAATCTTAAAATCAATTTAAATTACTATTAGAGCCTCCATTTTAGTTAGATTTCAATCTAGTCATTTTAATTTTGGGAATAATTTGAGTTGGCCCTCACCTAAATGCTGAAGAGACCATCTCAATTATTCGATTCAATAACTGATTTAAAAATCAAATAGGGTTAATATTAGAACCTACGTTTTTAAGCTTGAGCTTCTAAGTTCTTTAATTTTCATAATTTGGCACTTTAAGCTAGAAAAAGCCTTAATTGACCCTTAACTTAATTAGGATAAATAAAATTTTATTTGATTGCATTTTATTTTTAAACCTAAGGCAATGTTCACTTATTAGGGAATTAATCTCCCGCAAGTATGCTCAGGGGGTGAATATTGGTGATTCTCGAAATACGTCGACATTCTTTTCAAAAACTTCATCATGATTTTCTAAAATTAAGACAATGTCCGGTTATTAGGCACAATAGCTGATCTCCC